CCCACACCCAGGGCCTCGCACAATCCACGCCTGGGGTCTCACTCACGCAGCCTGCATCTGGGGTCTCGCACAACCTCCGCCCGGGGTCTCGCACAGCCTGTGCCTGGGGTCTTGCACAACCCACACCCAGGGTCTGGCACAGCCTGCACCCAGGGGCTCACCGCTTGCACCTCAGGACCTCATAGAGCCTGCGCTGAGGGGTCCCACGCAGCCCATGCCCGGGGTCTCAGCCTGTGCCCAGGGTCTCACACCGCCTGCACCTCAGGACCTCATAGAGCCTGCGCTGAGGGGTCCCACGCAGCCCATGCCCGGGGCCTCAGCCTGTGCCCAGGGTCTCACACCGCCTGCACCTCAGGACCTCATAGAGCCTGCGCTGAGGGGTCCCACGCAGCCCATGCCCGGGGTCTCAGCCTGTGCCCAGGGTCTCACACCGCCTGCACCTCAGGACCTCATAGAGCCTGCGCTGAGGGGTCCCACGCAGCCCATGCCCGGGGTCTCAGCCTGTGCCCAGGGTCTCACACCGCCTGCACCTCAGGACCTCATAGAGCCTGCGCTGAGGGGTCCCACGCAGCCCATGCCCGGGGTCTCAGCCTGTGCCCAGGGTCTCACACCGCCTGCACCTCAGGACCTCAGCCTGGGCCCAGGGAGCTCAGCCTGCACCCAGGGGTCTGACACAGCCCGCACCCGGTGGTCTCACCCAGCCTGTGCCCAGCCAAAGGAATCAGGCTGTGAAGATGAGAAAACAACTTGTGCTACTGCAGTGTGGACATAATTCCTGGTTAGGTGTTTTTCACTAGGTCATTTAGTTTTAGTATTATCTTTTCTGCCTTATGAAATGCAGGGAGTGGTAAGATTTAAATGTCAGTGGGAAGTACAGCAAAATTAGATGTTCCTTTATTTTTAAGAGAGACACGCTCAACTGTAATTTAGTTTTCATTTCCGCTCTGGCCCTTTTATCACAGTGCAGCAGTAACCTGACTAAAGTAGAGAAAGTATCTGATAATTTTTTACTCAATTTTTGTAACGGCTGTGACAAAATCTGCATGTCCTTAGATTGTCTGAAAGCTGCTGTGCCTCCAGTAAGACCTAGTAAAGGACCAGTGGTTTCGGTATGAAGCTTTCTTCGTTTTACACAGACAGATGACTATAAGGGTATACTGAATATCATGCTCTGAAAGCCAGAAAACGCGGAATTCAGGTAGAGGCCAACTCTCTCGCAGGACCCCGATGCTATTTGTTTCAGGGCCACCCTAACTAGTAAGGCACGTACAGGAAAAGCAGAGCGAAATTCTCCCGCCAGTCCTTCCTTCACCCACTGCCGGCTGAGTCACTAGGGCCTTGCCCTAAGGAACAGAAGGGCTTCTTTGAGCCAAGGCAGACGTTCATCCCTAGCCCCCTACTTACAACTGGGCACGCAAATGCTACACCAGAGACTAGAGAGCTTAATTTTAGCAAAATCTCAGTTCCCAGTCCTTCGTTGTTTGTTAGCTTCTTCTCTTCTAAGAAGAAGAAACTTGCGCTTAATAAAAGCCTACACTTTTACTGCACCAAAAGGCTGATAGGCTGCATCCTGCAGAAGATGGGAGTGTTTGCCAAAAATTCAGAGTATGAGAGCTCTGCAGGGGACACAACCCTGCATCAGGCAGGAAAAATGGCATACAAAAGAAAAACCTCTGTCTGTAGCAAAATGCATTCAGCTATATACTGAGAGATTGGGGCTCCCTGCGTGACCGTGAGTAGGGAGATTCTTGAACACGAGAGGGACAAGGTAGGGAAAATGCCTGCCTAAGCTCAGGCTGCTGTCTGCTGGCAACGCTGTGCTCCAAGTGAATATAAAGCTACAGCTTTGTTCCCATTGCAGCCCACATCCCACCCACCAGGGTTGGGCAGGACTGCAGTGCAACTCCAGCTCTGAAAACCTTCAGTTCCCTGACCACCTAATCCTAATCGTCTCTGCAACCACACCCTGGGAGACCCCTCCCAGCTCAAAATGCGCATGGAGTTAGAGGGCTGTACTACACCAGGCCCTCATCTGATCCTCCAGGCTGAGCAGGGCCCCAGGGCAATTCCACTAGAGCCATCTCAGCCCCCTCAGAGATCCAACATGTGCTTGGTGAGAAGAGATGTGTAGTTCAGCACACCTTGCTTGCTAATATGGGACTCGCTGGGCTCAGCAGCAAGAGAGGAGTAGAGGTGAAGGAGAGGTAGGGTTCGAGATAGGGGAAATGAGCATCTTCAGAGCTGGAATCCCACCAGAGTCCTCCTCACTCCTGGGACCTAGGAAAGGGCTGTCCTCTGCAAGGAGCTTAAATCCAATGCACATTTGGAGAGACGAGTAGACTCACCAACTCGCCTGTTTGGTAGGGCCAGTTAACGCTAGGGAACTGAGCATCTTCAGAGCTGGAATTCCCTGTTTCTTCCTGGCCTGACTTACTGACTAGTCCTCCTTAGATGGACTGTGGACCTAACTTGCAGGTAGCCTTGTCTTCAGGCTTGTTTCTTACCCTCTTTCTTGGATGGACCTCAGATTGACATCATAGGTAGCCCTGTTCCCGGGATAGACCTTGGACCTGATTGGGATGGGATGGCCCTGTCCCAGCTCCAGATCCATACCATGCTCCTGCCCTGGTTCTGTGACCTTGTCATGGCCCTCTGTCCCTGAACTGGCTTCATGTCCTCATCCCAGCTTGTGACATGTCCCTCCCTGGGTTCTGCCTCACCTTGAAACAGCCCCAAGATGACTCTTGTCTGGCCTGGGCCCATGACAACCAACAGCAAAAAGACCATTTTACAAGAGGGAACCTGAAGCCACATCTTTGCAGGGTGGAAACACGCACCTTTAAGGGAGAAGCAGCTGCTCTCCAGGCCCTGAGTGCACTAATAGGCCCTAGTTACTCTGGCCAGCCTCAGTCAGGGCCCCTGCCCACACACCTTCTGGCCAAGGACCCATGAGCTTCATGTGAGCTTAGGCCTGGGCACCCAGACCTAGCATGAGCTATGCTGTGTCCAGTCCTGTCTCCTGCTGTCCTGCCTTACGAGCTGCTCTTCCTGCACGGACCCTGAACCAATGTTGTAAGTAGCCTCATCTCTAGTCCTGTCTCCTGGCTGGACCCTGGACTTGACTTTATCTTGCTCTGTCTTTGACTCTTGCTGGGTCCTGTCACTACCACAAACCTGGCCCTGTTCAGGACTGTGCGACAGTCACTGTGCCTGCCAGCAGTGCGGTCAGCTTGGCTCCTGGCTTACTGTCCCATGTAAAACAGCCCTACCCCCTGCTGCTCTCCAACATCCTCAGAGCTGGTAAAAATGATGAAAGTTGGTATGGGACTTCAAATAAACGTGTGTTTGCAATGTGGAGATGATTCACTGCTCTGCTATGTGGCAGCATCAGAGCTAGGTTCACGGCTAGGGTGCCAGGGCACAGTGCTGCACACCTTCCTTCAGCAAAGTAAAGCATTCAAAAACATGCAAGCTGGCTGCAGCTAGCACTCTTACATTTGCACCCAGCACAAAGTCCAGTTTAGGCAGTGATTCAACATATTTTTTTCCAAAGCACGAGGTGAAAAAAGGCTAAAACTGTGGCCTTCATGCATTTCCTTTCTACACTGTACCTAACGTGATGTTTTCCTCCTTCACGCAAGGCCGCTGCTTTAGCTCCTCATCACCTCCAGCCTCGGCCCTCCAGCAAGCGTCCGCCC